CAACCGATAATTACTTGACCCTCACTTGAAATAGATTATTTGAAGTACAAACGAGGTATTTGCACTACGAAGTACTGTAATAGTAAGGACAGTCAAAGGTCTGAGTACAGGTCAAGTAAATATAATAAGTACAGTTGTGCAAAGAGGTCGATGCAAGGGCAAATGCATGAGTAGAGCAAGTAAGATAATGGAAAAAAAAGGCCAGGCATAATGGGAATGCTCGGACATATGTAGAATTGAATTCCAGCATAACCATCACTTTTCCTCCATTGTATGTTCGCTATGCCAGACCACAACGCTCGGTGACGCCTTCGCCAACTCCGAATCGTCAATATGGACATCCGTCTCTATCTCTTTGCGAACGAAAAGTTGGATGTTATCGGTCGTCAATGTTATATGCTATCAGGTCAAGTCTTCATTTTTCATCCTCCATGAAAAAAAGGGGAAGCCTACGGTAGACTCTCCAGGAAGACCAATCATCCCACGTAGCTCTTCTCGACAAAGCAGTGTGTGCATGAGCGTCTGAACGGAGTCGCGTCAGCGTAAATGGCGGGTTTCAAATCTACAACACTTACATTGCTGTACAAGCGGCTGATTGGTACACCGAATAAGCTGTAGAACTCGGTGTCCCTATCGGCAAGGTATAAAACCAACGTCAGAACAGACACAACACTGGTCAAGAGTCCTAATACGATGTAAGGTCAGGTTAGTGCCTTTGGCGCAGGGGATTAGAAGACACCTGTCTGTACCGTCGTCTGCATAAGACGGTTTATTATACTATCAGATCTCTGAAATCCCGTTCGTGATTGGGAAAGTGAATGCAATAAGATACCTGCGGAATAGGAGTGATCAAACACGTCAAGCGATTCAAACGCAAACGCGAACCAGTAATCAGGACGTTCACGCCGACCTCCAGACAAAGCCACACAGATATCAGAGAGCTCATTCCCCCTGTTTCCATCATGCTAGTCATTATGAAATCAGCGCCGAAGACAAGACTCAGTCGTTGTGAAACGATGGCATACGTTTTGACATTGCAGACCTTGACGCCGAAGATAATGCCAAAAATAAAAGCGGCAGCAGCCAGAACCAACACGGTAGCGTATAACGCAACGCTCTTTTTAAGCCTGAGGATCCTGGGGAAAAACGAATGAGCAAAGGGAATTACAGATGATGAAGCGGCAACTCACCGATATGCCAAAAACACCTGCGTTATGCAAGCCGTGACCGTAGCTACAAATACCCATGCTGGGTAAGGCCAAACAGGTCCTGACATACAGAAAGGATCAACCTCGACCGCGGACAAGTTCGGTAGAAACGTACTGGCCAAAGCTAAGGGATTGACAAAGTCATCTACACTGGTGAGTGATGTTAGGCATTTGTTATGGCGAGGCATTGATGATGGATACGCACGCATAGACCCAAGCGAGGTAGATTAATCTAAACAAGATTATTACTTGACGTTTGTCGTAGATAGTAATACTCCGCTCAACTCACGAACTGCTGTGGAAGGTGTCGAGGCAGAGTAACGAAAAAACGGTGAGTCTGCCGGCCATATTTATGGTATCAGTGAAGGCGATCGCATCGTCAAACCGGACACTGACCGAATCCATAACGCGTCGTTGAATGCTATTCGTCGAGCGGTCAGGACCTGATCGAGGGGAAACGGTAGCTGGTGACTCACCAGTATTGTAATACGATGCATATTGAAATGTCAGTAGGCCATAGAGATAGGTGTTAACTTGCGGACCCAAAGAAAAGTCAGCCCAGATCACGGCTCCTCAGCGTCAGGAAAATTTCCTCACAAAAGATGCCCAGCAAAAGAGGGCCTATCCATAGTCAGTAAACTGCAATATGAGAAGGGAGCATGAATCTCACCAAGAGTTACCTCAAAAATATGCATCGGAGAGGTGAGGGGAATGAGTAAGTAACTGAAGCGAGAAGAGGGTGTGGGCGGTGGCCAACTTCAGGATTGTCCACGAGGGTCGACCTCAGCGCCATCCCTTACTTGGTAGATGAAGCAACCGAACATGAAGGGATTGTGTTAGATAAGGGGGTGCGCAATTGAATAGGAAATGAGTTGGGACTCCGACGGTTGTCAGGCCAACGTTGCTATGGAAGTATCTTTTGGTTGTGAAGCCTCTTTACTCTGCACATCCCCTCAGGTGTTTATGAAGACTCGGAAAAATCATATTGTCCGCCCTCTTCCCTCTTGCTGTTTAAATTCGATCGAAGCCGCGGACCTCTCTGCGGAGATTTGGATAGACTGCTGTAGAGGTGTGATTCACAGTATCTCGCTTTGGTTTGAATCAATTGAAAGCGCGAAACATCAGATTCCAGACATTGATGTCGCCGGTCCCAATCCATCTCC